TAGCGGGGAAACCGAACCCCAGTGTCAAACCATTCCCTCTGCAGCCTATCCCAGTCATTGACGAGCCCTTTAGTAAGGTGGTCATAGATTGTGTCGGTCCCTTACCTAAGACCCCTCGTGGTCATCAGTTCTTGCTAACCATTATTGATTGTGCAACCCGTTATCCTGAAGCCATTCCCTTGCGCCGCATCACAGCGAAGAATGTTATCAAAGCCTTAATCCACTTCTTCACTCAAGTAGGCCTTCCTACAGTGGTGCAGTCAAATCAAGGCTCCAATTTTACTTCCCGGTTGTTTAATCAGGTAATGCAAACCCTGGGAGTCCGGCAGTCGAGGTCTTCGGCCTATTACCCTCAGTCACAGGGGGTGGTAGAGAGGTTTCACCAAACACTAAAACTCATGTTGCGCACCTTCTGTCTGGAGACTGGGAAGGATTGGGACGAGGGAGTTGACCTGCTTTTGTTTGCTCTTCGGGACAGTAAACGAGAATCGCTAGGATTCTCGCCCTTCCAGCTCGTCTATGGACATGAGGCGCGAGGGCCTCTTAAGGTGTTAAAAGAGTGTTGGTTGAGTGACCAGAGGGCGACGCTCTTAGCTTCATATGTGGTCCAATTCAAGGAGAAGTTGCGTCTGGCTGTAGAACTTGCCCAGTCCAACTTAAGGTGTGCTCAGGTGAGAATGAAACTACATTTTGATAAGGCCCATCAGGCAAAACCTAGAGAATTCCAAGTGGGGGAGCAGGTGTTGGCCTTCCTGCCCTTACATGATCACCCTTTTAAATCTAAATACAGTGGTCCATATGAAGTACTAGAAAAACAGGGGGCCTTGAATTATGTAATTAGCACCCCTGAACGGCGTAAGAAAAAACGCCTTATCCATGTCAATCTTTTAAAGTCGTATCATGTTCGTGACGAAACCCTGGGAAAAGCAGTTGCTTGTGTTGATCAAGCCTTGCCAACCTGTATTATTGTGCCAGAGTGTAGGGATGATAAAGATCAGTGTTTTTCTGAAATAATGAATGAGTCTAGTGTAAAAGTGGAAAACTCGACTATCTTGCAGGACCCCAATGCTAAGTTGTGCCATCTCTCTAGTGACCAAGCCAATAATATAAAGTCTCTATTACAGGAGTATCTTATTATAGTTGGTGATCACCCACACTCCTGTTCGGTGCTGGAGCATGACGTTGAGACCAGGGGAGCCAAGCCAATCAGACAGCGTCCCTACCATCTCAATGCCTTCAAGCGGGAGTGTGTGCGAGCCGAGTTGCAGCGTCTTCAAGAGCTGGGCTTCGTGGAGCCCAGCATCAGTCCATGGGCACCCCCTGATGTTCTAGTTCCATAGCCGAATGGGTCGATGCGGCTGTGTGTGGATTATCGCAAGGTGAATGCTGTCACTGAACCAGACGGTTATCCCTTGCCACGCATCGACGACGTGATCGACGATCTTGGACAGGCAAGGTACGTGACCAAGTTGGATCTCCTCCAGGGCTACTACCAGATAAGACTGACTGAACGCTCCAGGGCCATCTCTGCTTTTGTCACTCCTGAGGGGTTGTACCAATTCATAGTCCTTCCGTTTGGTATGCGGAACGCCCCTGCATCCTTTCAACTCTTCATGAATTACATCACGTCTGGTCTGGAAGGTGTCCGCTGTTACCTAGACGACCTCATCGTCTTCAGCAGTTCCTGGGAAGATCACATGAGTCGTCTACAAGCCCTCTTCTCCGTACTGGCTGCAAGCAAGCTGATGGTGAACCTCATCAAAAGTGAGTTCGGCCATGCCCACGTCACTTTCTTGGGGCACGTGGTCGGACAAGGGGAAGTCCAGCCTATAGCAGCCAAAATTGAAGCAATTCAACAGTATCCAGTGCCAGACGATAAGAAGAGTGTGATGAGGTTGCTGGGTATGGCGGGGTACTACCGCCGTTTTTGCCCAAACTTCTCCTCCGTTGTCTCTCCCATGACTGACCTGTTGAGTGGCAAGAAAACCTTCAAGTGGACTATGGCTTGCCAGGAATCTTTTGAGAATATAAAATCCCTGCTGGCAAATGCTCCTGTACTACTTGCCACGAACTCCAGAAACAGTTTACTCTCCATGTCGACGCCAGTGAAACTGGCGCCGGTGCTGTGCTTCTGCAAGAGGGTGAGAGTGATCAAGTGCTTCATCCACTGTGTTATTTTTCTAGAAAATTTAACAAATATCAAAACAACTATGCCACCATTGAAAAGGAGGCTTTATCACTGATCATGGCACTAGAAAACTTCAAAGTATATGTTGGCAGCACTGTTTATCCCGTTCTGGTGTTCACCAATCATAACCCACTTACTTTTGTTGACAAGGATGAAACACACCAACCAAAGACTTTTGAGGTGGGCTCTATCACTTCAGCCCTATAACTTGAAAACTTCTCATATCCGCGGAAAAGAGAACGTGTTGGCTGATGCACTTTCTCGAGTCTGATTATCTAGAAACTATGTCTGTGTGTGAATTATTTCTTTGTTTTATTGTCATTGAGTACCTTGTGTTTATATTATGAATTATTTTGCTTCATATTGATTTAAACTGAGTGTGTTAGTTATTACTTTCACCTTGTAGCTGTATATCCATTTTCACTTCCAGTTAGTTGTAAGCTCACTTTTTGGGGGGAGGTGTCATGTGCCCATAACCCTATAGCAACAAGCATGTCGTGTGGTATCTGTTTACGCCTCCACTCCACACAAGCTATTAATAACTTGTTATTTTTACTATTATCTTATTGTTGTTCTTAGTTACTTCGGTTAATTGTATATCTATGTATGTCATTAATATGCAACATTTGTGTTACTCTGTTAAGTCAAACCAAGAGTAGTATTAATTAGTTATAAGACTATTTGGCAACTGTCCTGAGTCACGTGATCTAAGATGCTCCTCACTCATATGCTGGGTGGGCAGAGACTCCCTCTCTAGTAACCGTTGGTATACGCTATAGGTAGGACGTGTCCACACCGACTCAGTACAGACATGCTTTGTTCAGTCATCTACAATACCCTAGTGGTATCTGGTAATTAGTGGTACGTTAACTTAGGCCTAGGAAGGGATTCTAGTGTTAAGGAATCTCCTATTTGGTAGGAAATAACCAGTTGGTTGTGATTGCTGTGTATATATTGCGATGTCTGTGTTTAATATAGTTAATGTTAAGTAGTATTCATTTGATTTAACTCCTTAACGGTATATTTTCACCCTTTTGGCATCACTCGTATTTTAATATACAATCTCTTATTCCCTTAAATTCCATGGTTACTAGACAGTATTCCCTTAAGAACATAAATTGAATTATTTAATTATCTTCCCATTTGTGACTCACTTACTCCAACTTATTCTTATTTATTCAAGTACATTCAGTTGAGTCGGTTTTTGTGGGGATAATTATTGCCGTGTTCCCTGTTTGTTCCTTTATTTGATGATAACTTCGGGTAGGTTTCACTCCCCTGGTACAAAGAATATTGGGATCACGACACCTATATAAAATGCACTGGCGGACGGCAAAGCCAACTCCATAAACGCGGTTTCTCACAGCAGTAGGCTTAACTTTCCCTACCCCCGTTCTGTGAGCCGACCCTAGTCTGGGAGCCGGGACTCACTAAGGGCAGTTTTTCTTTCAGGACTTTCATATGTGCCCGTATCCAGAAGGGTCTTGGCATTCCATGCAGCGACCAGAAGAGGTTGCATAGTTTATGTTTGTTTTGATCTTTAATTAAATAATTATGATTGTGTTTTCAGCTGGATAAGGATGACCTTACTGGGTGTGGTTGCCCAGTCAAGTTGGTTCTGTAGGCAGGCTATGTTTAGGGCACCTTTTCTAGTTCCTCCCCATGTGGGGTGAGCAGAGTGGCTCCTCGAAAGGGCTGCTCAGTCACACAGACAGGACTGGATTGCATTACTGCCTAAATCACATTGTATAAACAACCAACTTATCTATGCCACCTATGTGCAGAGACTCCCGGCAGTCATCTCTGCCTGTCCCCGTCGACACTCGTCCATTGCCATAGGACTTTTAGGGGTATAGGGGTTTTGATGATGATGAGAAGTATGATGAACTGGATGATGGCTGTGCGTGAGTTGATATAAGTGGTGGGTCAGGAGCCCAAGCTGCTACCAAGCATCTTGGCTATCCCTTTTCCTGATCCAGAGGTGCAAGTGTTGCATCGACTAGGAAGAGGGAGAGTTGCAATGGACTGCCGATAGCCCAGTTTGTTGGGTTTCGCCTTTGTATCCTGTCCACCAAGCATTGCCTTCATCCACCGGTGTAGTCGTTGAGTTCCCATGAAGGTCACCTCTTCCACCTATACCGCTGTTGGGGTCTTACTGGAGCTCTGTAAGCATGTCTACCTGTTGAGGGGCTCCACCGCAGATTTTTCGTTTGGGGGTTTACTCCCGTAGCCTTGTACATACCAAGGTTAGTCCGCAAGGCAGCGGGGCAGTGGTTGGTAGGCGCTAGGACGTGTTCACTTGCCAGTGGGCGTATGCACTGTCCCTCTGGGGCCCACTGCTGCTCCGAGATCCCCTGCTGGTCTAGCCTGGGCCCACGAAGCACCTAGGTACCGTGTGTTGCCACGAGGAGGCACAGCAGGAGTCTTGATTGTGAAGAGGCTTTGTACTGGCAAGGGAGGACTTGTGAAAGTTGCTTCTCTGTTTGCCAGCGGCGCTAGCTGAAAGCGAGAGGATGCAAGCAGTGCTTGCACCTTAGCACTAACATAATACTGCTACAGACACACTACACCACCCTGAGTTCACAAGTTGGTATATAAACACACACACACACATATACACACACACACAAGCGCGCGAAGGTATGTAGTTTGTTCTGTTTTTTATCTAAACTGAATCAGATTGATACACAGCCTGTCACTTCGCTGTCACAACCAAAACTTTGTTACAAATCTCACCTCAGAATGGATTTAAGTTGAACATAACTATTTTTATTGTTCGCTAATGAGTCTAAGTTAATTTTTCCACGTGTAGGGTTTTGTGTGCTCTAAGAAGCGGGTACTGACTGAAGAGAAGGGCCAGCACCTCTTCTTCTACAAGGACAGAGTCGTCGATTATAACATGACCATTGACACCCTGAATTGCACGTACCAAGGCATAGGGGTTGTTGGTCGGAAAACCGAGTGAGTACAAATTTCGGAGTATTACTGTAACTTTAACCATTTAGGAAAAATAATTCAAAATAATTTGTTTTATAGATAAGTGCCAAATATATTGTGCTTCATTTTCTTCATATCTTGATGAAGGTTTGAGAGATTTGTTCAATAGCCTATTATCAATTGTTATAATTGATACGACTAGCTGCGTGAATCGCCACACCATAAAAAATATATTTAATAAACAGTTAGGACCTCTAGTGAAGCATCATATAAAAGTTGAATCAGTATCGTAAAAATGATGAAAGGAGACAACAAAATAGGGCTATTAATATAAAAGGCAAACAAAAGGATTAGCATTGCAAATTTAACTGTTTCAGTGTGACAGCAATCTTTATATCACGTCATCTTCAGGGCATCACTTTTCCACTGATTGTACTGTACATCTCATCTCTGCTTATAAAATGACAGCTACAATAGGTAGTAAGTAGTAGGCAGCTATCAAACAGGGAGGCATTACTGCCTGGGAAGATACTGTATGCAAAATGTGTTGTCTCGTAAAAGATCCTGCTGCCATATGGCATCACAAACACTTTGACCAAGTCCCAGGTTGCCATCTGACTTTCTGCCTCGGTTACACACAATTGCTGGGTCTCAATTGTTTCTCTTACTATTGACAACACAACATAGATACTGTATATCGTTTCTCACTCTTGATTATTATTATTATTATTATTATTATTATTATTATTATTATTATTATTAATATTATTATTATTATTATTATTATTATTATTATTATTATTATTATTATTATTATTATTATTATTATTAATATTATTATTATTATTATTATTATTATTATTATTATTATTATTATTATTATTATTATTATTATTATTATTATTATTATTATTATTATCATTATTATTATTATTATTATTATAATTATTATTATTATCATTATTATTATTATTATTACATTTTCGCCCCTAGGCCCTGATGTTAGTCAGTAAGCGGGTGGGCTAATCCCGAAAAAAAGAACAAAAAAAAAACAGGTTAGTTGAACCAAAAGCTTAAAACAGCCTTATAATGTCTGAACACTGTTGTTGTTATAATGTTATTACTGCTCTTTTGGTTTTTGTCTTCTGAGCACAGAACCACGTATTCATTTTCCTTTTAAGAGTGTGCAAAGCTTGAAGGCAGATTGTAATTGATTGTTCTTATTTTGAAGCAAAAGGACCTCCAGTTCCAAACTGATTTGTCCAAATGAAGCAGGTTAGTGAGTTCTTCAGTTTTGAAAATTATAGATGTTAAAGTGAAATGGCTCTTCCATGAATTGAAAGGCGACACAAAAACTATGAAAATCCAAAAATTTGTTCATTTATGACACTACAGATCCAACCACTGCACAGAGCATTGCCTGTCAACGTGACTACCTTCCACATACCTTTGCTTGGTTTCAAGTGCGACAAATAGCTTTAGTTTTGCCTATAATTCTCGCAAATAATACATATAATCACAAAATAAGTTATATTTTCCTTTAGGGTATCTGTTAAATTCATTCAAATGAGCAGTAATATGAGTCAGAATGCCAGGCTTCATCATCAATCATAGAGTAAGTTGGTAACAAGTATACCTTTTATACCTTTGATTTGCTAAAAAACTCGTCATCAGTGTGTCACTTGTGGCGAGTGGCAAACGTATTAGACAAGTCTACATTATAGCGTCCAACCTACGACCAGCGTTGGAGGGGGAGGGGGGGGGGAGGTTGGCTACGGCAGTGGTCCTAGGGCAACATGGAACTTGGTAGGTGTAGTGAGCCTTCATTGTCAATTTATTTGATATAAAGCCGATCGAGAGAGACGTAACCGATGGAAGGAAAATGCCACAAGAGGCCTCGAAAGGAAAACAGCGTCTCCGACATAGACAATATGTCCCCAGCAATCCACCCCGTGCCAGAACCACCCACCTTCGCAATTCCGACTGTGATGCCAGTGCAAGATTTCCAAAGAAACCGAATTCAACCAGGCATACGAGGTAGTGGCAGCACTGGAACCAAAATACAAGAACATCAAGTTCAGTGTGAAGACCAATCTAGCTGGAGTCCTGATACTTTTCCCCCAAGACCACAACACAGCCAAGATCCTCAGTGAGGTCACCAACCTCAACGGGAAGACGGTCAAGATAATAACATTCTACCCAGAGGAGAAAACAACCAGAATGGTCCTACAGTACTACGATATCCTCTGGAACTACTTGTAGAAGTCATCATAAAACATCCAAAAGTGACCAAGGCAGAGCGTTGTGTTACGAGTCAGGACAAAGCACAGACAAGGCAAGTGCTAGTAGATGTCAAGGGGACAGTCCTTGATGAGGTAGACCTAGGCAACTGGGGGATTTACAATTTGCGTCCTTTTGTCCCAGAGCCACTACGATGCTACAAATGTCAGAAATTCGGACATCACCAATTCAGGTGCCACAGAAAAGTGAGATGTGGCATCTACAGCCTAAGCCACAAGACATAGTATTAAAAAATACAAGGAAGGAACCATCACGACAGCGAAGTGCCCAAATTGTGGAAAGAAACATCGCGCTTGGAGCACATCATGCGCAGAGAGGAGAGAGCGGATGAAAGTTGCAATGGCAAAAATTCAACCACAAACACAAGAGAAGCACCTCAGAGCACATTCGTGTGGGATCAACAGCAACAGAAAACAGTCAACCCAACACCCACCCCGCCCCAACTGTCAGAAGATTCCTTCCCTGCACTTCCCCCACCAGGCTACAGGACAAAATTGAAGACACCAGGACAAAATCAGTCCATGCAAGAAACCATGACAAATCAGTGAACTCCACAACCGCAGCTCCAGAGCTGTATAGCAGTAAAAGCACAGAACACTCCAGTAGTGGTGGAGAACACCATATTGCCTGGGACACTACAACCCCCTCAGGCGACCACCCAACTGAATACACCCCAGCCTGCCAATCTATAAGCGGGATTCAAAGAAAAACAAATAAAACAAATGATCACCATTATGATAGTGACTGTTTCTACTAAAACAAAGAAACAAGATACCAGCACCGAAAATATGATAACTGCAGTAATGACACAGCTCACAGGAAGACCAGACCTCCCAAACTCCACAACTACAAGTGGAACAGATGACGTCCTAGAGTCAGATATCAAACAAGAAGAACTTGCCATCCGAGAGATCACTCAAAACCGTGAAACCTCAAGCACCTTGCAACAGATCACAAAGAACAGAACAACAAGCACAGACCGTCAGCAAACACACGATCACAGGCAAGAGCGACAGCACTCTGAAGAGAGCAGAAAAATCTCCCGAGATACCTCCAAAAACAACTAGAAGCCGGTGAACTACTGACACAAGCAACACAGGAACTTGTTCTCATTGCTGGGGACTTTAATGCCCACCATCCAACGATCAATCCGACCACAACAATGAACCAGGATGGTAACCACCGAGTGGAACTGCTGTCAGATGTTCCAGAAATAACGCTCATTAATACTGGGGAACCAACACACATACTGGGAGGAACATTGGACCTCAAATTCATCTCCACTGAGCTCGTTCTAGTAGCTCAGTGGTAAGTAAATGATGAACTGACCAGTAACCACTTTGCAACGACAACTACTTTAAGAACATAAGAGAATAAGGAGTCTGCAATAGGCCCGTTGACCTGTGCATGGCAGCTCCTGTCGAGAGTTACTACCACTCTCTATCTCTAGCCTCCATTTAAAACTTTCAAGCGTTCCAGCACTTACTACAAAGTTGTTAAGCTTGTTCCACTCGTCCACCACCCTATTTGTGAACCACTTCCTTCCTATCTCCCTCCTAAACCTAAACTTATCCAACATAAATCCGTTGCTTCGAGTCCTATCCTGCTTGGATATTATAATAACTTTATATATATCTCCTTTATTTATTTATTTCACCCACTTAAATACTTCTATCATATCTCCCCGCACTCTTCGTCTTTCTAAGGAATGCAAGTTTAGTTTCTTTAACCTATCTTGATATGGAAGGTTTCCAAGTCCCGGAGTCCCTCTTACCCCACGTCAGCCACCCAAATGGAATACCAAGAAAGCAACACGCAGCAGAGGAAGCAATATCAAAAACAAACCCTGCAAATTGACACCACAAAGACTACTGGTCCTACAATGACGAGGTCAGAGAACAGAATCACAGAATCAACACATTCAGAAGACATCTCTGACAGTGCTCTTCCCTTGAGGGAGGGAAACTCTTAAGAGCTGCTGTCCAACATGCTCGTCAAGTCACAAAAAATATTTATACAATAATGGTGGACAATAAAAATCTTCTATTTTGGTGCAAATAGAAACCCTCAAGCCTCTTCTTATAGGAAAAACAAAAAATGAACTAAAAAGATAAACTGTAATATCGTATTTTAGTATGTTGATATACAAAACATTTTTTTTCATTATTCTATGAAAAATCAAGTCTAGCAAGTATTATTACATTTATTATTAATTTTTTTATACAATTGGGAAATAGTGACTACTATATCCGGGTTGAGTGTGTTACGGTGTAGCCCAGTGTATGTGGCCAGTTGTCTAATTTCTCTTGGTTAGGCTAACATACATATGTACACTTG